TGTATAATAAAATTAACAAAAAATAATTATAAAAAATGAAATAAGGTTAACCGGCGGGTTAACCCGTAACTCGTTATGGTCGGATTAGGGTTGGATGTTTCCAACCCGCAACCCGTTTATAACCCAACCCGTCTAACCCGTCACCCGAGTTGACCCGATCCTAACCCGACCCAACCCGCCCATTTGCCAGGTCTACATGAAAGGAAATGCAAGGGCCAGCATGAAGGATGTCAAAAAGGAGCAAAATTGGACCCATGCAAGGTCCCATTAGTTTTAAATGAAACCCAAAACTAAAAATTCGCCCGTTTTCCATACATGGTCCGACCCGGTTCATCATCCAATTTAGTTTCAGCCTCCCTTGCCTGTTCACACTGTCAGAAACCCAACGGATCGATTCTTCTGCACTTCAGCAGCCGCGCACCCTCTCGTTCTCTGCAAGCCGATTTTTCCGTCTGGGAGCTGCTCTCACTGCCGCCATCTGCCTTCTTCCTCTTCGAGGAGTTCGGGCAGCAGGAAACAGAGGATATCTGGAGCTTTCTCTGGCGAAGTCTCAGACGCAGGCGACAGGGTTGCAATCACAGGAAAGGAACTTGCAATCTCAAGAAGTCCAGCTGGCGATTGGGAAGAGAAAGACATTGAGCTTTGTTTTATTGTGAACTTGTAGGGTTTGAGGTATTTTCGGTAAGTCTTGATATCAGCTTGAGAAGTTTTATGGTTGAAATTCTTGATACTATTGAAATGCATATTGAGATGTTATTGGTGATTAACTATTTTTGCTGGATTCTCAGGATAGAAATAGAATTCCTATTTCTTTTCATGATAAAAAGGAAAGGAATCAGATATGAGTTCATATTCTGTTTTGCTTGCAAGTCTTGATTTCTCACCCTTTAGTTCTTTGTTTTCTGCAAGTGATTGTTTAGATTTATATTTGTTAAGTTGCTGAAATTTTGCTTTCTAGTGTTTTGGCGGTAGTGAGTGTGTGCAAAGTATCTGCTGTCTTGTAATTGAAATTGAAATTTGGAATTTCATTCCTTTCAAACATTAACAGTGAATCTGCTTTCTGTTTTTTCCTTTTTTTTTTTTGGTTCAAACCTCCTTATTCTATGTTTATTTTACTTTTGAATCACTAAATGGAGTCTACGGAATTAATAAACACTTGCTTTAAGCTTGCTTTATACTAGAACTTTTGCTTGTTCTTTTAAATGTTCAGATTTTGCATAAAAAAAAATGGGGAGAACCGATGATATAAGGATTAAAGGATTAAGAAAAATGAAAAGAATACCTAAAAATATATAAGAAAAGAATAAAGAAAACGTTAATAAAAGATTTTAATGAAATTATTTGTTTGTTTGAAATGTTTTCTTTGAGTGTCTTTTGCTTCTGCTTTATAGTTGAATTATATCGCCCATTTTAAAGTATGCAACAATTTTGTTTACTGTGGTTGTAAGTTCAAATGGCCATCCCCATGCCTAACTTGGACTCCAAAATTAGGCAATTTGTCTAATTTTTATCTACCATAAGTTTGATAAATTGTCTCTATCAAACTTGCATCTACTGTTATGTGAATCCAAAATCCACAGCCACTGATTGAAGATTTTTTTTTTTTTTTCCTTTCCTTTGGGAAATGGCAAAAATATCCATTAACCAATTGGATTTTAGTATAAACATCACATCAGCATACCTCTTAAAGTTAACAATAATCCGAGAAATTTTAGCTTAGCTTTTACCAAATGTGGGTTTTCTGATTCAAATCTTCAAGCAGCTTTCTTTTAAATCTTTAACTTGAAATTTAAATCCGAATCACAGGGTTTCTGTGTTTGTTTTTAGTAATATATTGACTTTGGAGTGAAAGTGTGCAGCTCTGACACTCTGATACTAATCTCTTCACTTTTGGGTATTTTGAAAGGGCATTTGCTGGCTGTGACGGAGGAGACAGCTATGGCAGAACTTAGTCTGGGGATCCTTATAGATATTGTTGATGATGAGTGGATGAGGGACACTCTACCTGATGATGGTATTAT